ATTCTGTCACCCAGTCTGGAGTGCAGTGTCGCGATCTGGGCTCACTGCAACCTCCACCTCCTGGGTTCAAGTGATTCTCCTGCCTCAGCCTCCTGAGCAGCTGGGATTACAGGCGCCCGCCACCACGCCCAGCTAATTTTTTTGAGTTTTTAGTAGAGACGGGATTTCACCATGTTGGCCAGGCTGGTCTCAAGCTCCTGACCTCAGGTGATCCAACTGCCTCGGCCTCCCAAAATTCTGATTACAGGCGTGAGCCACCGCGCCTGGCCCTACATTTTTGCTTTTAAAATTTTGGGGGGGCCAGAGAGACAGAACGACACACTATCTCAAAAAAAAAAAAAAGAAAGAAAGAAAGAAAAGAAAAAGAAAAAAAAAAAACGAAAACAAAATCTTTTTCGAGACAGGGTTTCGCTCTACGACCCAGGCTGGAGTGCAGTGGTGCAATCTTGGTTCACTGAAGCCTTGACCTCCGGGACTCACCTCCCACCTCAGCCTCTTGAGCAGCTGGGACCGCAGGCACCACCACAACTGGTTAATTTTTCTGCTTTTTGTAGAGATGAGGTTTCACCATGTTGCCCAGGCTGGTCTCGAACTCCTGGGCTCGAGCGATCCGCCTGCCTCAGTCTCCCAAAGTGCTGGGATTACAGTCCTGAGCCACCATGCCCAGCCCTTATTTTCTCTTAATGCTGAAAAAGCTTTCCTGAATTATAATTTTTAAAACTTAAAAGGCCAAAAAGGGCCATTTACAGTGGTGCAGATTGAGATTTATAAGCTTCCTTTATCTTGCAATATCTTAAGAACACTTAAAGTTTTTTTTTTTTTTGAGTCGCAGTCTTGCCCTGTCGCCCAGGCTGGAGTGCAGTGGAGTGATCTTGGCTCACTGCAACTTCCGCCTCCTGGGTTCAAGCGATTCTCCGGTCTCAGCCTTCCCAGCAGCTGGGACTACAGGCCCTGGCAACACACTTGGCGTTTTTGTTTTTTTTTTTCAGGAGAGACGGGGTTTCACCATGTTGGCCAGCCTGGTCTTGAATTCCTGACCTCAAGTGA